GGAGAATTGCCTGAACCCAGGCTGGAGTGCAATGGCGCGATCTCGGCTCACCGCAACCTCCGCCTCCTGGGTTCAGGCAATTCTCCTGCCTCAGCCTCCTGAGTAGCTGGGACTACAGACACGCGCCACCATGCCCAGCTGATTTTTTGTATTTTTAGTAGAGACGGGGTTTCACCATGTTGACCAGGATGGTCTTGATCTCTTGACCTTGTGATCCACCCGCCTCGGCCTCCCAAAGTGCTGGGATTACAGGCTTGAGCCACCGCGCCCGGCCATCTGGTCCTTCTTGTTACAACTTTGCTCCTGTACCAGGAGCATCATTGCCAAAAGTGGCCAGAGACTTAAAAGTTTACTTTTTCCTCTTGTCAGAATCAGTAAACTGGATTGTTACAGTTTTGTCTTCCCTCTTTGAAACTCCCAAAAGAAAAGAAATGACAAGAACAAATCTTGGCATACAAAGAAAATGAGACAAAGAATGTAATCATAACAATACTAGTGAATGGTTTTCAGACTGACATCTGTACATTAAGAATATGTAAAAATGCCAATTTTATGCTCTGACAACTTATGTGCATCAGGGGTGGGATAATGCCTTGGGAATGCCAAATGTCAAAGCATTACATAATGTCAGCTATTCATGTGCTTCTTTGATGAGATATCACTGCGAATGGGAATTCCTTAAGGGGGAGTCATCTTAACAAGTGGGAGGGGAGACGGAAAGCATGAAAAAAGTAAGGAAAGAAGGGATAAAGGAAGAGAGAATATTTCAAATCATAATGAAAATTCTTTACATAATGTGTAAAGAATGCGTATATTTTTAAACAATACAGACAATCCCAAATCTAAGTCAACCATTTGTAGGGGTTACTTATCTTCATTTTGGTTTTCCATAATTACCACATGAACATCATGTTAGAAGAGATGCACAGCAGCACACTGTTATATAGTCTCCACCATACAGATCAAATAGAGGTAAATTACCTTAAGAGCTAAAACAATAGTACAACAATTAAGAGCTGGGCATGCTGGTTGATGCCTGTAATACCAGCACTTTGGGAGACTGAGGCAGGAGAATTACTTCAGCCCGGGAGTGCAAGACTGCCTGGACAACACAGGGAAACCCATTTCTACAAAAATTATAAAAATAGGAGGCACGGTGGTGCACACCTGTAGTTCTACTTTCTCAGGAGGCTGAGGTGGGAAGATCACTTCAGCCCAGGACTTTGAATTTAAAGTGAGCAATGATTTTGCCACTACACTTCAGCCTAGGCAACAGAGCCAGAGCTAAAAAACAAACAAACAAACAAACAAACAAAAAAAACACATGCACACACACAAAAACCCAAACAAAACAATTAGGAAATGATGAATTTTGAATATTACCATATTAAAAAATATTTAATTGTAAGTTCATATAATTTAATTTTTAAGAATGAGTGGGGTTAAGAACCAGCTTGCAAAATTTCTTAAAGTTTGACAATCAGCTGTCATGAGCCAGCTGAGGCACAATGCTGGCCCTATCCCACCGTGAGTGTGTTACGCCTCACCTGGTCTCAGGCAATAGTATCCTAATTGGCTGGTAACATCTAGTCTCACCTTTCCCACACTACCCACTAGAAGGGGTATATCCTGGTTCAAATGATTCTCCTGCCTCAGCCTTCCCAAGTAGCTGGGATTATAGGCATGTGCCACCACGTCTGGCTAATTTTGTATTTTTAGTAGAGATGGGGTTTCTCCATGTTTGTCAGGCTGGTCTCGAACTCCTAACCAGCCTGACCAAGGTCCACACGCCTTGGTCTCCCAAAGTGCTAGGATTATAGGCGTGAGCCATGGCGCCCGGCCAAACTGGTGAATTTTTATGTTATGTATATTTTACCACTTTTTTTTTCCTTTGAGAGGAGTTTCGCTCTTGTTGCCCTGGCTGGAATGTAATGACGAAATCTCAGCTCACTGCAACCTTCCACCTCCCGGTTCAACCAATTTGCCTGCCTCAGCCTCCTGTGTAGCTGGGATTATAGGTGCCCACCATCACACCTGGATAGTTTTTTTTGGTATTTTTAGTAGAGATGGGGTTTTACCATGTTGTGCAGGCTGGTCTTGAACTCCTGACTGCAGGTGACCCCCACCCCCCACCCCACCTTGGTCTCCGAAAGTGCTGGGATTACAGACATGAGCCACCACACCCGGCCTGATGAGTTTTTAATTCAGTGTGACTGATGGCCTCATGGGAGGAAGAATAAAACACACAGGGAGAAGGTTTATCCATATGTTGACAGAAGCAGAGCCTAGAGTGATGTGTTTACAAGCCAACGATTGCCAAGAATCTGCAGAAGCCAGGAAGAGGCAGGGAAGGGTTTTTATCTAAGGCCATGAGAGAAAGCATGGACCTGCCAACATCTTGATACTGGACGTCTAGTCACAACTGTGAGAAAAGAAATTCCTGCTGTTTTAAGTCACCCATTTTTTCATAATTTGTTGTAGCAACCCTAGGAAATGAATACGGTACATAAATGCTGCCAGCATGTGAGTTTCCTTGGGCCAAATGAGGTGGGTTCTATCAGGCCTTGGGGTAGAGGCAGTTATGAACCAAAAGTTGGACTGGGCTCAAATACTTGGTAGCATTAAGCCCCAAAGTTGAAGCAGCCAGCATGTCCGTATTAGAGTCTAATCCGGGATACTGACAATGGATGATGAACAGAATCAGAAGCAAAGATGGAGGAAATATTTGTCTTCCCATTTGAAGAAGTTGCAGTTCTAAATCTTTAATTCAGCAATTCTGATTGGGATATGAAGTTTTATGGTTGATGCAAGTTGCATCTCTCAGGTACCTGGCATTGCTGACATGAAGAGCAGCAAGTTCTCTTCCTTGTTCTCACAAAATGACTCCTACCCCATACCCAGTCACACAGATTTCTATATGCTTAGAAGCCAGAAAAGACTGTAAGGTGATTATTAAAACCTCAGTCACTTTGGAGTCTTGCTGGACCGCTGCAGGCTGACTTCAGTCCAGAGAGATGTGCCCATTTACTCAGTGTTAAGTCTTTGAATTAGAGTCCTTGCAGAAAAGAGATGTTCATTCTAAATGAGTAATTGAGGAAAGTTTCACAAAGGGATCATTTACAGAGGGATGGGCAAGGCTCAGCGAAAACAACAAGGTATTGTACCCTAGGGCTAGCCATTGCAGGAGTGGCTGTATGAAGAAGGCCACCTGACAGGAGCTGTGGTCTTTTGTAGGAAAACACAACCAACGCATGGAGACGCAGCAGAGAGGGAGCCAGCACACAAATGGCCTGACTTCATCCCCCTCCTATCCTCCTAAATCTAGCGCATGCTGCCTATTGTCCACCCCAACCAAAGACCAAAAGACAAGGAAGCTCATCATACTCAATGGTGATAGACTGAAAGCTTTCCCCATAAGAGCAGAAACAATATAAGGATGCCAGTTTTCATCACTGCTATGTAACATTTTACTGGGAGTCCTAGCCAGAGCAGTTTGGGAAGAAAAAGTGAAACACTGTCATTATTTGGAATCACAATAGTCATCCAAATTGGAAACGAAGAAATATTTACAGTTGCAGAAGACAGGATTCTACATATAGAATATCCCAAGGAATACACAAAAATATCGATTAGATCTAGTAAATTGATTTAGGAAAGTTGTAGGGTATAAGATGAACACACAAAAACCAGTTGTGTTTCTATACATCAACAAGGAACAATCCTAAAAAAAAAAAAATTCCATTTATAATGGCATCCAGAAGAATCAAATACAATTCTTAAGAATACATTTAACCTAAGAGGTGAAGGATACACTGAAAAGTATAAAGCTGCTGAGTAAAACTTAAAAAGACCTAATTTAATATAATGAATTTCCATGGTTATGTATCAGAAAACTTAATATTGTTAAGACTGCAGTACTTCCAAAATGAGCTACAGATTCAATGCAATCCCTATAAAAATTTTAATGGCCATTTTTGCATAAATGGAAAGATTGATCCTCAAATTCACACAGAATTGCATGAGGCCCTAAACAGCCAAAACAATATTGAAAAAGAGAAATAAAGCACTACAAAGCTACAATAATCAAAACAGTGTGGTAAAGTCATAAAGATAGACATACAGTCCAACAGAGTAGAGTTTACAATCCAAAAATAAACCCAAACACCTATGGTCAATTGATTTTCAACAAAGATGCCAAGAACATTCAATGGGGGAAAAACAGTCTCTTCAGAAAATAGTGCTGAAACTGGAAAACTACATGCAAAAGAATGAAGTTGGACTCTGCCTCACTCCATATACAAAGATTAACTCAAACAGATCAACTACCTAAATATAAGAGCTGAAAGTATAAAACTATTAGAAGAAAGCAGGGGTAAATCTTTAGGAGCTTGGATTTAGCAATGGATTATTAGAACTAACACTAAAGCACAAGCAACAAAAGAAAAAATAGATCGATAAGATTTCACAAACATTAAAACCTTTGCAAATCTAATGATATTATCAACAAAGTGAAAAGGCAACTTACAGAATGGGAGAAAATACTTATAAAACATATCTCGGACTAGCTGAGAGTCTGTCTGCCCAATGACTCTTGCAGTCCCCCTCCCCCAAAATAAATAAAATGTATCTCATAAGGGTTTAGTATTCAGAATATATAAAAAATGCTCAGCCAGGCGCAGTGGCTTGCTTCTGTAATCCCAGCACTTTGGGAGGCTGAGGCAGGCTCATCGCTTGAGTCCAGGAGTTGGAGACCAGCCTGGGCAATGTGGCGCAACCCCATCTTTACAAATACAAAAATTAGCTGGACATGGTGGTTCACACCTGAAATCCCAGCTACTCAGAAGGCTAAAGTAGGAGGACTGATTGAGCCCCAGAGGTAGAGGTTGCAGGGAGCCGAGATCACATTACTGCACTCCAGCCTGGGGGACAGAGCAAGACCCTGTCTAAAAAAAAAAAAAAAAGAAAAGAATACTTATACTTCCAACTTGGCAACAAAAATACAAACAATTCAATTTAAAAATTGATAGTGGATTTGAATAGACAGTTCTCCATAGAAGATGTACAAATAGCCTACATTCACATAAAAATTGTATTGGTCATTAAAGAAATTAAATTAAATTAATTAAATTAAATTAATTCAAAATCACAATGAAATACCATTTCATACCCACTAGGATTACTGTAACTTAAAAAATTGAAAATAAGTATTGATAAGTATGTGAAGAAATAGGAATTCTGGTCTATTACAGTTTGGAATGTAAAATCATGCAGCCACTGTGGAAAACAGCTTGGTGGTTCCTCAAAAAGTAAAACATTGGATTTCCATAACGACCCAATAATTCTAGGTATATCAATAGAAATAAAAACATATGTTCACATAGAAACTTGTCTATGAATGTTTGTAGTTGCGTTACTCATAACAATCCAAAGGTGGAAACAGTCCAAATGCCTGTCAATAGATGAATGGATAAACAAATTGTGGTATATACATACAATGGAATATTATTCAGCCATTAAAAAGAATGAAGTGGTAGACTGAGGTGTCTCATGCCTGTAATCCTACCACTTTGGGAGGCTGAGGTAGGCAGATCACTTGAGCCCAAGAGTTTGGGGCCAGCCTGGGAAGCATGGCAAAAACCCATCTCTACAAAAAATACGAAAATTAGCTAGATATGGTAGCATGTCTATAATCCCAGCTACTTGGGAGGCCAAGGTGGAGGACTGATTGAGTCTGGGAGGTCAAGTCTGTAGTGAATCATGATTGCATCACTGCTGTCCAGCCTCAGCAAGAGATACCGTCTCAAAAAAAAAAAAAAAAAAAAAAGAATGATACATGCCACAATGGATGAACCTAAAAAATTTTTGTGTTACGTGAAAGTAGCCAGACACAGAAGGTTATATACATATGATTTCTTTCTTTTGGAGACAGAGTCTCACTCTGTTGCCTAGGCTGGAGGGCAATGGGACAATCTTGGCTTGCTGCAACCTCCACCTTCCAGGTTCAAGTGATTCTCCTGCCTCAACCTCCTGAGCAGCTGGGACTACAGGCATGTGCCACCATACAAATTTTTGTATTTTTAGTAGAGATGGGGTTTCACATTTTGGCTAGGTTGGTCTCGAACTCCTGATCTCAGGTGATCTGCCTGCCTCAGCCTCCCAAAGTGCTAGGATTACAGGGGTGAGTCACTGCACCCAACTACTGTATTTCTTATATATGATATACCCCTAATATGCAAATCTCTAGAGCTAGAAAGCAAATTAGTAATTGATAAAGAATGGGGAAGGAGAAATGAGGAGTTATTACTTAAAGGGCACTTTCTGGGGATGATGAAAAAGTTCTGAAACTAGAAAAGAGATGGTGGTTGTACAACATTGTGGGTGCACTAAATGGTACTGAATTGTACAATTTTAAATGATTAATGGAGCTGGGCTTGATGGCTCATGCCTGTAATCCCAGTGCTTTGGGAGGCTGAGGCAGGAAAATCACTTGAGGCCAAGAGTTCAAGACTAGCCTGGTCAACATAGCAAGACCCCATTTCTACAGAAAATTTAAAAATTAGCCAGGTGTAGTGGTGTATGCCTGTAGTTCCAGCTACTCGGGATGCTGAGGTAGGAGGATTGCTTGAGCCCAGGACTTAAAGGTTACAGTGAGCTATGATTGTGCCATTGGACCCTAGTCTGGATGACAGAGCGAGACCCTGTCTCAAAAAAAAAAAAAAAGATTAAGGCCGGGTGCGGTGGCTCAAGCCTGTAATCCCAGCACTTTGGGAGGCCGAGGCGGGTGGATCACAAGGTCAAGAGATCGAGACCATCCTGGTCAACATGGTGAAACCCCGTCTCTACCAAAAAAAATACAAAAAATTAGCTGGGCATGGTGGTGCGTGCCTGTAATCCCAGCTACTCAGGAGGCTGAGGCAGGAGAATTGCCTGAACCCAGGAGGCGGAGGTTGCGATGAGCCGAGATTGCGCCATTGCACTCCAGCCTGGGTAACGTGAGTGAAACTCCGTCTCAAAAAAAAATAAAAAAAAAAAAAAAAAAAGATTAATAGTATATATGTGAGATTCACCTCAAAAACATTTTCAACAAAAAATACAGAACTATATTCTGTCTACAAGATATTCACTTTATATAAAGACTACTTGAAAGTAAAAGCTTCAAAAACAATGTACTATACAAATAGTTAAGAAGGCTGCAGAGACAATGCTAATATCAGATAAAGTATACATCAAGAAGAAAGTATTACAAAGATCAAGAGGAACTTCTCTCTCTTTTTTTTTTTTTTTTTGTTTGTTTTGTTTTCAGATGGAGTCTCACTCTGTCACCCAGGCTAGAGTGCAGTGGCATGATTGCAGCTCACTGCCACCTCAGTCTCCCTAGTTCAAGAGATTCTCATGCCTCAGCCTCCCAAGTAGCTAGGACTGAGCACCACCACACCTGGCCATTTTTTTATATTTTTAGTAGAGATGGGATCTTACCACGTTGCCCAGGCCAGCCTTGAACTCCTCAGCTCAAGTGATCCACCCACCTTGGCCTCCCAAAGTGCTGGGATTACAGGCCTGAGCCAGCATGCTCAGCTTGTTTTTGTTTTGAATGAGGGTCTCATTCTGATGCCCAAGCTGGAGTGCAGTGGCATGAACATGGCTCACTGCAGCCTCAACTTCCTGGGCTCAGGTAATCCTCCCACCTCAACCTCCCAAGTAGCTGGGACTACAGTCACAGGCCACCATGCCTGGCTAATTTTTTAAGTTTTTAGTAGAGATGGGGTTTCACTGCATTGCCCAAGCTGATCTTGAACTTCTGAGCTCAAGCAATCTGCCTGCCCCAGCCTTCTAAAATGCTGAGATTACAAGAGTGAGCCACCATACCCAACCAAGAGGCACCTTTGTTAATGATAAAAAAAGATTCATCCATGTAAGTGTATGCATTTAATAACAACTTCAAGATAGCTGAAGCAAAAATGGTCTCAAATAAATTGAAAAACGTTAAGTTTTCCATTATGGTTGTGCCACATGTTATTTAATCTATTGCTTATTGATGGGCATTTAATTCATTCCTGTTTTTTTTCTTTTTTGCTATTGCCACAATGAATGTATTTTTGGGTGTGTACATATCTATATAACTATCTATACTTATGTAGCAATATCTACTTTGGATAGATCCCTAGAATGGATTTGCTGGATCAAAGGTCATTCTGTCATTTTCTTTTTGACATTTTATCAAAATAACATTTTATTTTGATTTAGTACAGCCAAATTACTTTTCTAAAAGACTTCACTAATTCACCCTCCTATAGTGTATGAAACAGTACATTTTTATTTTTGGTCTAATACTACCTTCCCAATGCTTCTTACATAGAAATCAAAATCCTTCCCATGCATTCAAAGCCCTACAGTCTGGCCCCTCCTTATGTGGCCAGGCCCTCCAGTGTTCCTACTCCCTCTACTCTCTTCTCTAGCCTCAGTGATCTTTCAGTCTCTACCGACCTGCTCCAGGACCTTTGCGCCTGCTGCCTCCTCTGCCTGAAGCACTTTACCCTTCGTGCTTCTTTCAGTTTATTCCTGTTTATCCTTCAGATCTCATGTCACATCTTTATAGAAACCTTCCCTAATGTTCTTGACTAGGTCAATATCCCTATTATTTATTTATTTTTCTTACTTTTTTAGTTTTATTTATTTTTTATAATTTTCATTTTATTTCTTTGACTCCACTGGGAAAAGACGTGTGGGTTTTAAATATGATTAACATCTGTTTTTACCACTAGACCATGACTTTCACAAGTGCAGGGATTGGGTCTGTTCATCTCTTCATTTTACATGCATGACACATGGTAGACACTCAATAAATATTTATTTGAATGAAGGAGACAATGAAGGTTATCATAAATCTTTTAAAATGTTCCAATCTGACTTATAAAAATTGCATTATGTATTAATTTCCATTTATTTGACTATTAGGGAGATAGATTGATTATCTAATGTTAATTGTCTAGTTTTAGTTCCCTCTTTATAACTACCTACTCAGATCTTTTGCTTTTTCTAGGTAGCATTTAATTTTCTAATTGATTTGTTGAAACTCTTTATATATTATGGGTGATATCTTTTATTATATGTGAGGGAAATATTTTCTTCCACTCTGTGGTTTGTCTTTTAACTTTCTTTATGGTATCTTTCTTCTTAAACCAC